AATAAAAGTATGTAAGTACATTTATATATTTACAACAATGTTAAAGGGCTTTAGTAGGCTGAATTTTTAAAAGAATATTTAAATCTACAGTACATTTAAGCCTTATCATTTAAATATAAGTCTATTTCCTCACTTCCCTTAATATCACTATGGACTTTGAATTTTAATAAATGCAAATACTAAGGGAAAAATGAACTTTTCTCAATGAGGTGAATGACAAAATGAAGAAATAAACTTTGCCTCTCATTTTTTTATAAACTGATTTTAGCCTTTACCACATTAAATATAATTCACTGCATGTGGCATATTTTTTATTTAGTTAGATAACTAATGTGGCTATAAGAAATAAAAATGAATTTCATATATCACATCACCATAGAAAAGTCACAGACAGCAAAATATTATTTTGCCAAATTTGGGAAACAAGGAAACTATAAGGAATTATTTAAAGCTTCATAAACTACTAGAGAATGTGCAACAGTAAAAAAGAAAGGTATTTCTCTTTCATTCTCTTTAATTTTCTATTGCATTGTACCTCAGCTCTACAGATGTATAACGTCAGCAACAAAAATAATATGAAATAACTGAATTAATCTTAAACCTAGCAGAGAAGTATGACTCCCAAAGGGAAACATATTTCTAAAAGCACTCTGCCTGTCGGAATAATAATAACTTATTTTAATTTAAAACAGCTTTTAGCTAATAGAGTTATTTGAAGGTTCCTTTTGCCTATGTCGGCAAAAAAATTAAAATAATACTTTGCGTAATCTTCATGACATTATATTCTTGGATTATTAGATATGCACCAAAGCACAAGCAATAACAGAAAAAAAGAGATAAACTGGACTTCATCAAAAAACTGAAAACTTTTGTGCCTTTAAGAACACTGTCTAGACAGTGAAAAGACAGCCTATACAACGGGAGAGAATATTTGCAAATCATATGTCTGATAAGGGCCTCCTAACTAGAATAAGGGCTTCCGTGGTAGCTCAGTGGTAAAGAATACGCCTGCCAATGCAGGAGACGCAGGTTCGATCCCTGGGTTGGAAAGATCCCCTGGAGAAGGAAATGGCAACCTGCTCCAGTATTCTTGCCTGGGAAATTGCATGGACAAAGCAGCCTGATGGGCTATAGTCCAGGGGTCACAAAAGAGTTAGAAAGGACATAGCAATTAATAACAACAATGACTAGAATATATGAAGAACTCAGAATTCAACAACAAAACCAAATAATCCAAATAAAAAGTGAACAAAGGACTTGAACAGACATTTCTCCAAAGACATACAAGTGTGAAATAGGCACATAAAGAGACCAAAAAAAAAAACTGAACAAGTATTTGTACAACCATATTATTCATTGCAATATTACTTATAATAGTGAAAAGATGTAAGCAACTCAAGTATTCATCAACAGATGAACAGATCAAGAAAATGTAGTATACATATACAACAGAATATTATTCAGCAATAAAAAGGAAGGATATTCTGACACATGCTAAAACATGAAAGAACCTTAAAGACATCATGATGACTGAAAAAAGCCAATCACTCAAGGACAAATTATGAAAATTCCACTTATCTGAGGTATCTAGAGTAATCATATTCAAAATGACAGAAAGTATAAGAGTGGCTGGCAGGGGCTGGTATTGAGGAATGAAGATTCATTATTTAATGGTTATATGGTTTTAGCTTTGAAAGATGAAAAAACTTTCAAGATGAATGGTAATGGTGAATGCACAATGTGAATGCACTTAATGCAACTAAACTACACACTCTTTTAAGGAAAATTTTATGTTACGTACATACCACAATTTTTTAAATTCTTCTTTAAGTGGTGAAGAACTGGAATAGACATTTCTCCAAAGACTATATATAATGGCCAACAAATTCATCACTAGTCATGAGGAAAATACAAATCAAAATGACAATGCGAAATATTTCTACACCTATCACCACAGCTAGAAGCTTTTAAAAAATGTAAAATAATAAGTGTTGGCAAGAACATAGAGAAATTGGAATCATCCACAGTACTGATGGGAATGCGAAATCATGCAGCCCCCATGGAAAACAATTTGAACAACTTGGCAGCTCCCCAAAAGGTTAAACATAAAATTACCAAATGGCCCAGCAGTTCCTCTTCTAGTTGATACATAAAACAGCCAAAAACTTGAAATCCCTCCCAGAAAACATGTGCAGTAATGTTCTCAGTAGCAGTATTCACAACAGCCAAAAGGTGGAAAAAAAGCAATGTGAATCAATAAATAAATGGGGAAAACTATTGTGATATATGTGTACAATGGAATAATATTCATCAGTAAAAAGGAATGAAGTATTGATAGATACTAAAAGAAAGAATATTAAAAATATTATAGCTAAGTAAAAGAAGCCAGTCACAAAGTCACACATTTTATAATACCATTTATATGAAATATTCAGAATAAGTAAATACATAAAGAAAGCAGATTAGTGATTGCCAGGGACTTGGGATAACTGCTTAATAAGTATGATATTTTCTTTTGGAGTGATGAAAATTTTTTGGATCTTGATGGAGTGGATGGTCTCACAATATTATGAAGGTACTAAACACCACTGAATTGTATACCTAAAATGGTTAATGTTATGCTTTGTGAATTTGACCCCAATTTAAGAAAAACCCTCTAAAAATGGGGTTATGGATGGAAGCAATATATAAATAACAGAAAAATATTAAGCAAATTACTTCACAAAATCCCCATGCACTATTATATAGACATTAAAATTAACTGGAGAGCATAAATAAAATAACTTTTATAAAAGTAAATTAAAACAATTCTATATAAATATTTGAAAGGTTGTAAACACATATAAATTGCAATGTAAAAAAAAACAAAAAAAAGAAGAAATTTTTTTTCCCTTAAAGTCATGGAAACAAAGCATTTATGTGTGTGTGTGCGTGCGTGTGTGTGTGTGTTTGTGTGTCTGCGCTCAGTAGTTCAATCATGTCTGACTCTTTGCTGTCCACAGAGTTTTCCAGGCAAGAATACTAGAGTGGGTTTCCATTTCTTACTCCTGGGATCTTCCCAAACGAGGGATCAAACCTGTGTTTCCGGCATTGGCAGGCAGAATCTTTATAACCTGCACCACCTGGGAAGCCCTATTTTTAATCACAAATAATCATCTATCTAATCTATCTGAAAGACATTTTATTTCCAAAGAAATTCTAGGCTAAAGAAAATTCAGTAGTAAAAAGCTTTTGAAAGCAGGATGGTTCTTTGTACTCAACAAACATAAAATAACAAAATATAATACTATGATTATAATAGAAAAGCTCTGAATTTTTTGGATTCCACTGTACAGATACCTCCTGCAGCTTCTTTACACATTGAACACAGCACTAAGCTGTGGCTTTTGGCTAAGGGTTCCTGGATCCTCCCTGTTCACATTAACACTACTTCTGCATTGATAGTCAAGAGTTAGGTCTAAGAATCAGATATTTCTTGCTTGTTAGTAGTAGTATAATCTTGAGCATTTTACTCAACTTCTTTGTATAGTTGGCTGTACCTAAAATGGAAGCAATTGTGATTCCTCCCTTACAGTTGTCTTGAAATGAGACAATGAATATAAGCTATGAGTACAGTACCTCAAGCACAGAAAATGCAAGTGTCAACCAATTCATGTGTTAGAGCCTCAACCAGGACAGAGCAAAATTTCCACTCACCAGCAACGAATGGACACCTGCTATCGCCAGAGCAGTTTCGTTGACTCTAAGGCATAAGCTCATCACTCTGTCTTCTCGACTCTGAGTGTAAATTTGACTCATTTGGGAAGACTTAAAGAACCAAGAATCACCTGAGGACCTAAACTAAGAGGCTGGTTTAATTATTTCAAGGAGTGGCCTAGACGTCCATATTTTTTATTTTTTTTTATTTTTTTTTATTAGTTGAAGGCTAATTACTTTACAATATTGTAGTGGTTTTTGTCATACATTGACATGAATCAGCCATGGATATAACATCCGTATTTTTTAAAAAGCTCTCCAGGTGGTTTTAAAATGCAGGTAGTGTTAAAACTTTTGTCTAGATCAGCCCCAGGCCCAGTTCTCTCTAAAGATTCCTCATCTTACCACAGCTTTTCTGTGAGTGCTATTCAGACACTCTCCATTTAGAAAAAGTAGATTGAAGATTTAAGGAACAAGGATCAACTGAGAAATGAAGAAGGATCATTGAAAAATTACAATTTGAAAGAAATTTTTTTTAAAGACCAAAATTTCTTTTTAAAAAAATAGGAAGAAAAAAGTAGCAAGACAGAGAAAGAAAATAAATAAAAGGATTTCAGGATCAAAAAAAATGACATGGTAATAGTTAGCACTTACAATGCTCTTTTAATGTGCTTTAATTCCTATGACATGTGCCTCCATTACACATGACCTCATTTGATCTTTACAACAATCCAATGAAGCATTATCATTTCACTTTTACATACGAGAAAAATGAAGCTCTCTAAGGTTAAGTGAATTAACCAAAGCCATACACATTTAAACAGTAGCAGAACTGGAATTTCAGCCAACGACTGATTCCAAACCCATTCTCTTAAACCTTATGCTATATCACCTTGTCAAAAACAAACAAACAAAAACTTACCGGATATAAGGCATACACAAAATATTTATTATCTCTAAATTAAAATGTAAAGTCATCACTATTATTAAAAATAAGCTATAAGCAGTGATTTTTTTCAGAATACTGAGATTACACATAATTTCTAAATTTAATTTGTCTGCATTTGCTAAGTTTCCTACAGTAAATATGTATTCATTTTCAAATAAGAAAAAGTAGGGGTTCCTTAAAGCAAGTATATCACAGAATTTTTATAGTTCATAGTCCTCAATAAATACAAATTATCTTCCAAAAATACTCAATGGAAAAAACTTCTTTAATAAAGTATATTTCCACAAGAGGTACATCTTTCTTAATTTTCTTTCCTATAGTAAAAATACACTGAAGTGAAAGAAAAAATAATTACCTGTACACTGCCCTCCATTGGTTGGATCTCCATAATAACCTGGCATACAGTCTTGACACTGCTTTCCTGTGGTAAGATTTTTACACTGTTCGCACACATTATTATTGATGCAAGTGCTATGTCCATTACACTGGCAAGCTAAAGAAAATAGTAAAAAAAAAAAAAAAAAGAAAGAGGTTGATAATATCTACATAACAATATCAAGTATAACTGCCATAAAGACAAAGAATTTATTTTACAAATCTGAATGACAGCAAAGTACAAATGGCATTTCCCGTGTTTTTTCTTTTTTTTTTAACATATGTCTCAAAATACTAACAAGGGACAAATTTTGCCTATGATCTATAAAACATAACGCTATAAATTAGAAAGTGAAACATAAACATTATAGCTAAGGAGAGAATGAAAGGTCAAAGTGTTAGTCCCTCAGTCATTCGACTCTTTTCAACCCCAGGGACTGTAGCCCACCAGGCTCCTCTGTCCATGGAATTCTCTAGGCAAGAATAATGGAGTGGATAGCCATTCCCTTCTCCAGGAGATCTTCCCAAACAGGGATCAAACCTGGGTCTCCCAAACTGCAGGCTCATTCTTTCCCATCTGAGCCAGCAGAGGAGCCCAAGGAAGGAATACATTTTAACATATTCCTTAAAGATGCATGTGACTATTACGTCTATTAAGTTAACACAAGAATAAATAGCATAGCTCTGATAAAGATGCCAAAATGTATCATTTGTCTTTTGGTATAATAAAAAAGGATCAATAAATACAGAAAACTGTGTGATGCTAAGGTCTTACTTCAAGAAAATACATTAGTGTAAAATTTAACATAATTTATGTTAACATAAAAGTTAACATAATTTATGTTAACATAAAAGTTAACATAATTTAACTTTTAAATTAATTTGTATAAATGTTTATCTTCTTTGGGCAAGAGAAGCTTCAAGGCTTACTAGAAATTTTACTTGAAATGTGAACTAAAACAAAGAAATTTGAAGCATGAGATATTTTATATCTTCATATGAGATCTAATATATTTTCATATTAATATTACAACAGAATTTTAAAATTTTAGATGATAAGTAAAGTTTATATATGAAAGCTCCTATTTATTGTCTATTGGGGGCATAATATTAACTTATTTTGGTTAACTTCTTGTCGAAACATCATCATCATTTTCATCATTATTACAACTATGCATTTAATTAGCGCCCTCACCTCAAACCAGGAAAGCCACTGTTAAATCGATTGCAATAGTCTGTGCTGTTATCTATTCTGCTTTATCAGTTCACATACTGCATCAGTTTTCTTAAATATTGTAACTACTACCCCACTGCAAGATAGAGTACCAAGTGGTATACATGAATTACATAATTAAATCCTCACAACAATTTTGTATGGAAGGTACTATTCTCAGGGTTGTTTCCAAGATCAGGAAGCTGGGATTAAGTAACACATCTCATCAATAGCACCAATAAATGAACAATCAGAATGTATGAATCAAAGATCAGATATTAAATTTCATACATACTCTATGTAGAAAATTTGAAAGTAAGAGGGAAATCCCAAGAGACTAGCTCATCAACATGAGTTAACATCAAAGGGTAAAGAAAAAGAGTAAAAAAATAAATACCTATATCTTACAGAAATTTTCAGAGGCATAATTCCACTGTAACATAGTATAAAAATGACATGCAGCCATCAGGGGAGAATGTACAATAATCTTACTCCTAATAACACTGAGAGAATTACAATATAGTTTTCAAACTTTATATTATAAAACAGCTAAGAGAAAATTTAATAACAAGAAAAACATTCATAATAAATTAAGTAAAATAAGAACTCAAATATTATATCTAAGTGAAGTGAAGTGAAAGTTGCTCAGTTATGTCTGACTTTGTGACCCCATGGACTATACAGTCCATTGAATTCTCCAGGCAAGAATACTGGAGTGGGTAGCCTTTCCCTTCTCCAAGGGATATTCCCAACCCAGGGACCAAACCCAGGTCTCCGCATTGGAGGAGGATTCTGTACCAGCTGAGCCACAAGGCAAGCCCAAGAATACTGGATTCAGTAGCCAATCCTTCTCCAGGGGATCTTTCTGACCCATATCTAGAATGACCACAATTATGTTTTGAAATGTATAAATATGCCCATGGAAAATAGTAGTTATCTTTGTCAAATTTTTCTACATTATCAATTTTCTTTATGGAGAGCTTTAGTAAGATTTTTCTACATTATCAATTTTCTACTATCAACTTGTATTACTATTATAATAAGAAAAAATAATGCTAAGAACTTTAATTTTCTAAAATTGTGCTTAAAACTTTAAGTCATTTTTTATAGAAAATTTTATGTAAGGCCACTAGTGTTGATTCACTCAGCTTAAATACTTTAAAAAGTATTATCTGAAACAGTCAGAATAAGAGATAGGTTACTACAAGTATTTTTATGAAACCCCTGGCTACATTTTTTTCATCAGAAACACAAATGCCTTAACTTCTTAAAAATTATGAAATTTAGTAATCTCATCTAATATCCTCCTCAAAGATTTCCAATGAAATAACAAGAAAATTTGCCAGCAACAACAGGAATTGGGAGTGTAATGTTATTGCTGTAGTTATTCAGTTTCTCAGTCACGCCCTACTCTATGTGACACCATGGACTGTAGCACGCCAGGCTTCCCTGTTCTTCATAATCTCCGGGAGCTTGCTCAAACTCATGTCCATTGACTTGGTGATGCTATCCAACCATCTCGTCTTCTTTCATCCCCTTCTTCTCCTGCCTTCAGTCTTTCCCAGCACCAGGGTCTTTTCTAATGAGTTGGCTCTTCATATCAGGTGCCAAAGTATTGGAGCTTCCGCTTCAGCATCAGTCCTTCCAATGAATATTCAGGACTGATTTCCTTCAGGATTAACTGGTTAGATCTCCTTGCAGTCCAAGGGACTTTCAAGAGTCTTCTCCAGCACCGCAGTTCAAAAGCATCAGTTCTTCAGCTCTCAGCTTTCTTCGTGGTCCAACTCTCACATCCATACATGACTACTGGAAAAACCATAGGTTTGACTAGACGGACCTTTATTGGCAAAGTGATGTCTCTCCTTTTTAATTCACTGTCTGGGTTTGTCACAGCTTTTCTCCCAAAGAGTAAGCATCTTTTAATTTCATAGCTATAGTCACCATCTGCAGTGATTTTGGAGCCCAAGAAAATAAAGTTTGTCACTGTTTTCACTATTTATTCATCTATTTGCCATGAAGTAATGAGACCAAATGCCATGATCTTAGTTTTTTGAATGTTGAGTTTTAAGCCAGTTATTTTACTCTCCTCTTTCACTTTCTTCAAGAGGTTCTTTTGTTCCTCTTTGCTTTCTGCTGTCAGGGTGCTGACATCTGCATATTACCTGAGGGTACTGATATTACTCCCAGCAATCTTGATTTCAGCTTGTGCTTCATCCAGTATAGCATTTCACAATAATAAGTTAAATAAGCAGGGTGACAATATACAGCCTTGATGTAATCCTTTCCCAGTTTGGAACCAGTTCGTTTGCTATGTCCAGTTCTAACTGTTGCTTCTTGACTGGCATACATGGTTCTAGGAGGCAGGTAAGGTGGTCTGATATTCCCATCGCCTTAAGAATTTACCACAGCTTGTTGTGATCCACACAGTCAAAGGCTTTAGTGTAGTCAATGAAGCAGAAGTAGATATTTCCATGGAATATTCTTGCTTTTTCTATGATCCAACAGATGTTGGGATGACAACTACATAAATAAAACTAGAAAGTAGCAACCTACTATATATCTGGGAATCAAAGGAGGACTTCTGGCATAATGCTACTCAACTGTAACCCTCCTAAAAGCTGGAAGTTCTGAAGGCAGCTCTGGGTTACGGTGCAATCAAGAAGCGTATCACTGGTATGCCTTCACACTGCTGCGAGAATGTGATCCAGGAAAGTCTAAGGTTCCAAGTAATGAACATACCATACAGAAGGCTGATATAATTTAGACCTAACTGCTGGAAAATTTTCCAGAAAAAAAAAATATATGGTCATTCTTGCAGTTTGTAACTAGTATGGCAGCAATGGCAAAGGAGAAGGCATGTTATAGAGAGCAGGACCCAGGAGTAACAACTGTATCAAACACACAGGAAAAGGATACACCATGAAGCCTAGGAGGATGCTCTATTCTCCACTAACACCAGCTTGTTGGATCAAAAGGTAATGTAAGCTTGTACCTAACAGTTCTTCCAGGATTCACTGTTACTTGAAAGGTTCTAATAACAATTTGGTTGTGTAACATGAGTAAAACTAGAGAAGTCATCCATAGCATTTTGTTTAAATTTTAAAACTAGTCCAGATGGCTCTTCATTTATATACATACAAACAGAAAAAAACTGAAAACAGAACATAATGAAAAATACAGCATTTGATATGCAAATAAAATACATAGTTTTGAAAAATATGTGTGCTCTAAAACAGATGTAAGACATTAAAAAATATATGCTTGGCATTCACAATAAAATTCAAAAAAATACACATAGAAAGTTAAGACTAAAATTTACCCAAAACTTTTTTTTCAAAACATAGCCCTTTAAAAGAAAAGGGAATTATCAGTGCTAAAAATAAAACTGGGATTCAAAAGAAGAATGTTAAAGAGAAGCTTGAGTTAGTGACAGAAGTTTACTATACATGGGAATAGACAAGCAAGAGCTAGTGGGTTTGGGTTTCAAAACCCAGAGGACCAGGAGACATAATCTCTGGCATACTTAAGAGATAACCTGAACCATATTTATAATGCTTAAAGCCTTCAAGTGTAGCCTCTCTCTGTGTAAAAGGTACTAAAATACATCTAAGCCCAAAGAAGCAGAAAAGAACATTAAATCCACTGGCATATTGTATGGAAGACAAAAGTCACTTATGAAAGCCTGTGCCAATCAGATGGGTTGGGTTGAAATTCACATTGTCTATATGGTAGAGAAACCCTAATATTAAACAACAGTATTAAAACCTGCTCTGTAAATAAGAAAAGCCTCATGTATCTTGCAAAAGCAGATGTAAATGGCCTCCTGAAATATTTCTTCAACTCAGGTCACACAAGTATGTCAGGCTCTGCAGACCATAGAATCTCTTCACAACTATCACTGCTGC